TTTCATTTTATATTAAGACGACAAATTGCATGTTTTTCTGATTGATTAGTAGCCACACTTTAGGTTACTTGTTATTCAAGACAATCAAACCCCTATGACTTAAAGTAAACTTTCTCAAAGAAGGTAAAAGCAGAACCCCATTGGATTCATTAATGCAACCGCCAGGGTGACATGTGACTCGGCCGTGCAACAAACTGTTTTCCAGCTTTCTATGAAAGTTTCGTGAGTATTGAAGCGGTATTTCCTCCTTCACAGTGCACAATGTCCACTTGACTGACACCGGTATCAAAGGAGCGTAATTTAAATAGCTACATTTATTCAAAACTTTAGTCTTTGAAATCTTTTGTTGCTGTTGTTGTTCCTGTACAGGTTTAAGCGAAGCAGGTGAACCAACTAGACCGCAATGATCGTCTACTTTGTACTTATTCACATCTACGCGGTGCAGTCTTGTGGCAGATTTCTCTTTACGGGCGAAAGAAACGTCGCCCTGTATGGCCATGCCCTCCAAACCATGACAACACATCAGCAAGAATTGTGCCTTAATAAATGCTTGGAAATATCACAGTGCATGTCAGTCAACAAGCACGAGAGTGACACTGGGCAGTTTACATGTCAGCTTAACAAATCAGGCAAGGAAGCAAGTCCAAACGACTTGAAACCGAAGCCAGGGTTTGTTTATCTTCAAACAGCAGTAAGTTTATAGGCAAGGCCTTGTTTGCAATTTTTGCCTCATTAGCACCGGCTCATAATTCTTTGAACACGCTCTACAAATAGCGGCTGAAAAACAAAAGTCGGGTGGAAGTAAACGTGAAGATCTCGACAAAAATTTGGATGATTAACTAACAAAGTACTTTTCGCACAATTTCGCTTGCGAAACTCGAAATTTAACTATTACTGCATGAATCATTAGTGTTAGCCCCTCCAGAAGTTCAAAATTTTCAGACTGTCATTCAGTTAATATTTTGTGGAAGGGACTTGAAATTGGGAAGATAATTCATTGGGCAAACTGGTATGTTAATGGTCCAACAATTTAACAATGACGTCACAATCAATTTTCGCATATTATTATGGATCTCAGATCTCCGAGAATGAATAGGCCTTTTTCAAAATACCATGATAATACTCTTTGTTGTTCCTCCAAAAACATTGTTTTTAGTTTCTCTTGGGGGGATTGCCGTAAGTCTCAAGAGAAATTGAAAAAAAATGCTTAAGCAAAATTTTGGAGGGACAGCAAAAAGTATTATGGTACTTTTGTAAAAGGCTTAAATCTTTTATGTTTTCCATTGTTTTCAGACTCAGGATGACTGTCCTGTCGATATTTGTATTCATAAAAGAGGTACTAGTCATTTGCAACTCCTCTTAACCTGTTAAATAATAGTAATAATAATAATAACAATAATAACAATAATAATAATAATAATAATTTACCCTCGGCATGCGGTATGTATAGTGCAAACGCTTGTGGGCCAGTGCAGACAACTAAAAAAAAAAGATTGAAACAAAAATGAAATAACAGGGTTTAACATGATTCCCAACTGACCGAAGGCAAACCAGTTGCCTATTTGCAAGAGTATTCGAAGATTTGAACTTAGGACTACCGAGAACAAACTTTCAGCAAGTGATGTAGGCGGAACCTTAACTAGGGGCCTTCGGATTACAGAGACGTCCAGCGCTCTATCCGCTCGGCCACGCTAAACCACTCAATTCTGTACATATTCAAAGGCAATGATTGCACTTACCAACACATTTATTTGTTACCAGCTCTTCCTGATGGATGGTTTCAATTTGGCACCAAGGTTTACAAGAAATTTTCTGAGAAGAGCACCTGGAAACAAGCAAAACAGATTTGTCAGGCAAACGGAGGAAATCTAGTGACCATTCAAAGCGAAAGCGAGAACAAATTTATCTTCGAGATGTTTGTCCAGAACAAAACTAATACCACTCAAGGTAAACTGGAGATAGTATAATGTAAACAAAATGGTCTCCTGAAATGGAGGTGAGCAATTCATCGATAATACTAATGGAGAGCCTGCCTTAATTGCTTTCTTAATTTCCAAGGACAAACACTGCCGTAAGAGATCCAGCATGAGGAGACTATTCTGCGCAGCAGGCGCTTGAAAGTAATATGGGTGCAACAGAGAACGGGACACGGTAATCGGGCTACGAACTCGCACAACCAATCATTTGAGGAGAAAGAAATGGGACAGTTCGCTAGTACGCGACCCTCTGTGCGGGAGGGTGATGCTTGACATCTAAAATATATAAAAAAAATTGAATATTTTTCCACCTTTTGGTATCGTTTTACACATTTCTGGCACAAAAAATGGCGAAAATGAGGATTTCTGCTTAAAAAAGCTCAACCTCACGTCACTTAGAAGTCACACTCCATAACCATAGCAACCAGTTATTACAAAAGGACGACAAACCATGCAACTCTGATGGAGATATAAAGTTTACTTTGCGTCGAGCCTAGACTTGCGCTTCTCCTTACGTATTTTCAACTCACTTTACATAACACTAAAACTAAGGAATTTAGTTTTCAATAAAAATACAGTTCTTTTTGAAAACTTGTTGTCTGCAGATCAGTACAATGTGATAGCGCATTGGAAACTGGACGGAACAGACCATGATATCACGTAAGTCTGATGAGTGAATCTTTACGAAAGCTTATGCTTGAAGCGTCACATTGCCAATTACAAGTCGTCATCCACGAGTAACGCAAAAAAAAAAGGCCACTCGGCCTTTACGATTCGCTTGGTAATTCGGAAACAAAATAATTCCATTGCGTTTACTGGGGTGGAGTTGGAGATTGTTCTTAGCAGACCATGTAGACACCTCGTCAACAATGCCTGCGCATGACTAGTCCCTTTATTTTCCACTACCTCGTAGACTGTGGTGTCGTCCACGTACTTGAAAAGACCGCTCGAAGTATCTGCACTAAGATAGTTAAGCATAACAAGAAACAGCCAGGGGCCCAATTTGACCCCTTGAGGAACCCCTGCACGATCCGAACTCCATTCGGAGAAGCAGTCTTTTTCTAGCTTGGCTCCTTGCTTCTTGTTGGAAAGAAAGGCTGCAATCCAATTTATGATGTAAGGATTAAAATCATATTGCATGAGCTTGGCCATCAACAGACTGTGATGATCTATAAGTCGAACGCCTTCCTGCAGTCTAGATCAAAGGTCCTTACACAGTCCCCAGTTCCATCGAGAGCACGAGTCCCGTAGAACATGGAACATGCTATTTAAGGCATTCTTTTAATTATTTTATCTTATTTTTCGGCAGGGTGGAGGAAGGGGGGAGGGGGCTTAGTTAGAGGGTTGTTGGGGGGCCGCGGTTGAGGGAGAAATAAAAAATAAGCCTTTCATTTCTGTTTTCATCTTAACAGTCTAGTTAATGGCGCAGAATATGTAAAAGAGGATGGAAAGAACCACTTATATCTCAGTGAAGCAGGAGCGCATGCCACCACTCCAGCCAGAAATTTTCGCGACGGAAGCTTTACCATCGCAAGCTGGGTAAAACTGTCTCAACCCGTGAATTTACATTCCCCTATATATTCAGTGTGGCCATCAAGCGGCGGTCAATTCTTATTTACCATCCAGGATGGAAGATTGTTATTTGCAGCTGTTAATACGGACGATTCATTACAACCTTTACTCCAACCGAGGTAAATATTCTACTAGTTGGCTCAATTTTAAGCAGTGCCCCTTTTTGAGGACTTATTTTTGGAGGGGCTTATCTACGGAGGGAAATTTGCGTTTTAAAATCGATTGGGCAAGCCTTATAGTTGGAAGGAAATTTGCCGTTTTTGCTTCGTTTTACTTTGTATTTGAGGGCAATTTCCAAGTACAAGCCCCCGGGCGGGCTTATATTTGGCCGGAGGCGCGATTTAACGAAGGGTTTTTTTGCGTTACGAGTTTCGGGGGCTTATACATGGAAGGGCTTATTTTCGGAATTTTACGGTAACTTGCTCGACACAATGACGAAAGCTGACGTCATTATAACAGCATATTGTTGAATTTATTGGTTGAATCCAAATTTCCCTCATGAGACATAAAGAATCATGATGCCGTCATTTACTAATAAAAAAGGAACTGCAGGCATCCACCATTTTGGATCTGTTATTTTGATTTATTTAACCGTATTCCGTTTCACTTAAAACCCGTAAAAATCGAGCTATTCGTCATAGAAAACTTGATCTGAGTGTAAAAGGGTGCTTCGGAATAAAAAAAACTGCAAAATATGAAATTCCGAGAGAAATGAAAACTGCTGACAATTAATTTAAGCATCTTGCATTTGGTCATATTAAACTCATTCTATTTTCTCAAACTAGTCACTAAAAAGCCTGGATTTGATTAACAGTTTATTCAATAACTTTGATAAAATAATGCTAAATTAAGTGTGATAATATTTAGATTTAGCCAGGGCTAAAAGCGAGGCTCCCATTAGTAAATTTATAATTTAAATTAAACAATAAACTTGTATTCGAATTCCACAATTCAGTTAACTTTAGAGCACATTTATGTGACTTTTGAGGGAAAGGCTACCTGATTTTAGAGAAAAATAATTTGCAAACAGCCCAAGAGTGAACCAAATCTTACATCGAGTTGATAGCCTCATATGTACACTCAAAAACTGGTAATCATCTTTTATCACATTTAAGAGCCGTAATGGCTATTGATCACCGTAGATCAATTAGGCTTAGAAAAAAAATCAGGCCAACGTTTTGGCGTTCGACAAGTTTACTTTGCAAAATCTTGCCAACAAATCTGGGTGCGTGTAAACCAACCTTTTATACCATGGACAGAAAGCAGTATTTCACAATACAAATTGCTCTCATTCAATATTCATAAACTGTTAAAAAAAATTTTCCAAAATCACCTATACGGCCATCCGGTTCTCACTTTTGTAGTGCGAGCTGTAGCGAGTGTTTGAATGAACATTAACAGAGTTCCGCTCCAAGATAATAAAGAATTTATCATGTTTATTTTTTATTTGATGGTTTAACGCGCGGCATTTTGAGAACTCCTGCAAGCGATGTTCACTGAACGACTGAAAACAATCGGCATAGCGATTAAAATTGCAAGAGAGACTACCAACAATCAATAAAAGAAATATAATTCGGTGAAACATAAACAGAGACAACAATTTTCATTCAGGAAGACAAGTATTAAAGTGTCCCTAAATATCCTGAGTCTTCAAGCTTCAAGCTTAAGTTTGCTGAAGTTTATGTTTTAAGTCAGCTTCCCGGTGTTTGTTTTTTCAAAGACGAACTCGAGGCAAGAAAATCGCTCAGAGCTTTCTTTTCCGGCTAGAATTATAACTAAAGATTCTTTGGAACATTTTCTTTCTATTTGCGGTGAGAAACTGTCTAAAGGCTTTTTAAAGTTCTGTAAGATTATATCAAACCAGATACTCGGTGAGATCGTTGTCTCAAAACTTACAAACGCGCATAAACTAAATTCCCGCATAAACTACGCTCCACTTCATTAAATTAGATACAAAAAACAAACATGAAATACAATAATTTCTTTGGCTTACCATTCGAGATGCAGCTCCTGAAAGTTATTAGGTAAAGCCAGTATCGCTTCAGACTTTGCAATCCTCTTACGCATCAAGCAAGGTAAAAACGAAAACGATGCCATCCGAAATCGGATTTCCGACTTTGACAAGCGACGTTTTCTCAACCAAAAACCCAATAAACAAACTAGCCATGAGTAACAGAAGACTCCTGATAGCAGCTGAATTTCATTTTGTACATCCAGTGGAAAAAGACAGTTAAAAACATCACAAGTTGACACAAAACTCTGTCAGCTTCAGCTGTTAAAGTAAACAAGATTCAAGATGCTGCATAAATTTTGCGCATGAACTCACATGTCAAATTTTGACCAATCAGAGCATAAAAATTGGACGTAGAGCGTGACCAACGCGTGACCATTGTGAGAAAAAACAAAAGCAACTGTCTTCCCTGCCTGTAACAGCTGGCTGAATTTTCACGTCCGAGGTCAGTTTGCAATCAAAATTTTAATTGTGCAGCACATAAACACAACATATTTCATATGAATTAAGAAAAAAAATTGAACTTGAGCCTGCGATCACTTGAAAACTAGTTTACTTGTCAGCGGATAACTTCAAAAAATACTTGACCTCGACGGGTCGACACCTGAGCCCGCGATACGGTCAAGTGATACTGGTCAGCGGGTACTCTGTTTTGACAGCTGTCAATTGATCAAAACATTGATGTCCAATATGTGTGCATTATCAGTTTTCCTGTGCTCCCAAACTAGTAAAAGTATGAGATTGAACGTTGTTCGCGATCTAGTAAAACAGTTAACTGGTCAGCGGACAGCTTCCAAATAAATCACGTCACCTCGATGAGTTGACACATGAGCCCGCGACATGGTCATGGGATACTGGTCAGTGGCTATCCTGTTTGGACAGCTGTCAATTGACCATATTGTTAATGCCCTATATTAAAGATGTGGGCTTGCCAAGACACGCCTGAGACACCCCTCCCTTCCTTTTGATAGTCTCCCCTACCCCACCCATACAATCTGTAGACGCGTACGTACGTACGCTCGGTCAATCACGTGACAACCAAACGAAAAGAGGTTGACCATATTCCATGGGTATGGGGCTCTGTCCCACGCGCGCTTCGCGCGCGCTGGAGCCCCGCTATAATAATTCAATATAAAAAATGCAAACTTTGAAATATAAGGCTGTAAAACCTTGGTTGCCATGGTAAAGTCAATGTTGACGTACACTTCCCGGCGATATTAAAATGTCCCAGATAAATTTTAAGAAAGTCGCTAAATGAATGGAAGTCGCTGAATGGTTTTGAAGTTATTCAACTTTTTAGTATGGCCCCAGCGGTCAGAATCTGAATACGATTAACCGATGCATTTTATGGCTGAGAAGAAGTCACGAAAATTTATAGCTCAGCGACGTAACGTTCTAAATTAACAAGGCATGTGAAAGGCGGAAAGGAGTACCATTGTTTTGTATATACAATTTACACTCAAGGGGTATCTTTTCTGTCAAAAATCAAAAATAAGACAAAAGAGCTTCCCGGTCATGAAACAGTTGCAATTCCTAAAAATAGTGTACAACTATCCCCCGAAGGAGAGGTAAATAGTCGTGATATATACCGAGACGCAAAGCGTCGAGGTATATATCTACCGTTCTTCACCGACCCTAAGGGGGATAGTTGTTTTAGTATTTACCAAATCCGTTGGATAACAATGAAAAAAGTAACCTCACTTAGTAGGAACTTCGATTACAATTTACAAACGTTTCGGTGATTTTGTCAAGTGTATTTTTACGATTTTGTTGCAAATTCAGCATGAATTCAGCATTTTCTACCTACCAGTAAACACCGACAAGCCAAAGTTCGTCGCTTTCTTGGTTTTTGTTTGCACGAATACTTCATCTATCGCTCACATTTTGTGTTGCGACAATGCCTCGAAACGAGACGCCATCTTGGCTCCGGTCGCAAAACAGTGAATAGCCATAGATATTCCGAGTTACGGGAGTCAATCAAAACGCGCGAAAATTGCTATTCACTGATTTGGTAAATACTGAAAATGTTAAATATCAAAAATGGTCCATTATTTTTGGAATTCAATTGATGCGAAGAAACGTTTTCACTTTTTAAGATTTCAAATAGCGTGACCGGTAGCCCCTTTAGAGTTTTCACAGGAAGCGTACAAGCTGCTGTGAAGTTTCCGATTGTCACAAAAAAGCTTTTTTTCAGCACACCCTCGCCAGTTGATAGATGGCACCATGTAGCTGCAGTGTGGGACCGCACAAGCAACGAAGTTTACCTCTACCTTAACGGTACACGAGTGACAACTCAAGGTGTGCAGGCGCACTGGTATATTGTCTTCAACTTAATATCTACCCATGATATTGGTCTAAAAGCGGACGACGGAGCAACCTTGAAAGGCTTTCTAAGCGATCTAATGGTGTTTGGCGAGGCGCTTAATGAAGATAGAATGAGGAAGATCTTAGGTAACCTATATGATTGGCTGGGCGTCAAATGAGATTGCATGCTTCGTTCCGGACGCAACTGGGCCGGCTAATAAGATGAAATTTCTTGCAGTTTCTGTTGCCCAAACTTCTACACTAAATAAGAATTTTATTGTATAAAACTACTACAACACAAGACTAGTGATATCCTTTGGTGAAGACAATTTGACAATGTAGCAACTCTTACTTAGTTAACAAAATCGTTGTTCAGCCAAGATTGGATTAAAATCCTGCAACATGATTACTGCTATTTCTAGGCCTAAAGAGTTGATAAATGTGATGACCATTCAAATTTTCTAAAGTTGATGTATCTATCCAGATGTTATTCAAACATTTGAGGTAACCTCATGCACATGCAGTGTTTTTATGTTTTGTTTTGTTTTTTTGTTGTTGTTTTTTCTGTAGATGACTATAGGACGGACCGCGGTGTCTGGATCGGATTGAATGACACCACAGGATCGGGATCATACAAGTGGGAGGACAATACGACCCTGGTTTACACTAAATGGGCAAACGGGGAACCTGATCGACGTTACAATATCCAAGATTGCGTAACAAGAAAAGATGACGGTTCTGGTCACTGGGAAGACATAAACTGCTATCATCACCTTCCGTTTATCTGCCAGAAAAATGCATAAACCTGGCAAAGGTTCTCACTTCCAACAATACACAGTCCGATATACAGTCGACTCTCTCTAGGGCAAGGGCTACGCAAAATTTTGTCGGTTTTGCAAAACAGTCTGTCAACAGAAAGGCATCTCTAGTGCGTACGATTTTTTTTTCACCGACCAAAGTTTTTAACAACTGCCACCAAAAGTTATTTCACGAACATGACCAACCTTGTCCCAGATGCGAACAAGGCTACAAAACGAAAAATTGGTGATTACAAAAATTTTCAAATCTTTTGCCAACGCCAAACTCTATTTCATTTTTCGTCGTAGTGAGAACAGGGTCTAAGACGGACACCTTTGGGAAAAGCACTATTTTCTCGTCTTTTGAAGGTGTTCGTTTTGGGGAGGGAACTCCCTATAATGGCCCATACGGGGAGGCTCCGCCCGAAAGCGGTACCTTTTTCAGGCTTCAGGTATATGAAAGGGTAGGGATTTCACTAGCTGAAGTATTTAAAAGGGTAGGGAAATCTGTCATTTGGGTCTGTAAAAGGGCCCAAAAGGGCTAACAGATGAATTTTATGGCTTTATAAAGTCGGGAAAACGTTCTATATTTGATTAATTCCTATTTAAATGACAATGCATTTACAGCAGTTAAAAGGGATGCAAAGTTCTAAAAGAGGTATATGAAAGGGGTACCATTTGTCAATAGACGGTATACGAAAGGGGTACCTTTTTCGTGAAAAATGGTATATAAAAGGGTAATGGGTTGGACCTCGGGGCGGAGCGTCCCCGTATAAATATTTATTGAGTACCCACTTTTCCTCATTCATTGTACATATTATAGTTCCCTTACCAAGCTATTAAAAAGGCCTTTGATTACTATATTAGGCTATATTAGTAATCGCTGAAAATTTTAACCCGATATACCGTCTATGTATCAGCTGATGTATAATAAATCGGAATGTTGCAAAGTAGACTGCGAGCAGTCTCTTATTTTTCTTTGAAAAGTTACTGCACGTAATATAACATCGTGGTTTGCAATCGCGCTGGCTGAGATCAAGAACTACACGGATTTTAAGAGAAAAGGCGGACTGCAAGCAATCTAGTTGCGAAGAATATATGGCTCATTAACAAAAATTTTGCTGTTTTTGTTCAGTTGGCTCCTTAGCGTTTCCTTACATATTGATTGAAAAGAACTGGAAATTGTACAAACGTTCAGTAAATGGTAATAATAGACTATAAAATCAATGTTCACGTTGATATAAGAGGTCGTAATAAACGTTTACTAGGGTTTACTGAACAGAAAAATGCATTTATAAAATCCGAAAAGCTTGTAAAGTACTCTAATTCACTCTCCTTCGGCTCGTGTATTACAAGGGTTTCTCGTGTTGTCCTAACGGCATCCCGCGTAGGTTACCACGCCGGAAAACCCATAGAAATAGTGGTCTATTGCTTAACCCTTTAAACCCCAAGATCAAAATTTGAATTCTCATTTGTTGCCCCTATTCTTTGCCAACAGAAGTAGTGGGGAGAAGGCGATAAAATATCAAGCAAATTCATCTTGTGTCATCATGTCCGTAATTCTCATGACTACTCTGTTTTGGAAAGCATGGATATTGCAAGGAGAAATTTGATGCTGATCACGCTTAGGGCTTAAGGTCTCGGTAAAGGAAAACGAGGTGCCCACAGAAAAAAATTCTAGTCGCGCGAGTATTTTCGCTACAAAGGCAAGTTACATATCAAATTCAAGCTAAAAGACTAAATTACCTTATAAAAGATTTTATTTCATCGAATTTCAAAAGGTACTTAAGTTTTTTGTTCTCGAACTCAGAGGTATCGAGTTTACTGCTGAAGCTCCAGCCCTTTCGCGTTGTTAAATATTCACTTCCTTTTTATTGCATCTGATTGACAGATAAAAGACCTAAAAAAGGGTTAGATGTCTCGTGTTAGCGGAATTATTGCATTTCAAACTAAAAAGTCGAATCTCGAGCGCGATTTACGCAAAGAAACTGACATAAAATTAGTTACAAAGGGAAATCGGAAAATTCCTCACACCCTTTTTGAGTCTATATCATTATCCATCATATCTGAAAGTTTCAAAGCGATAGCTTAAAACCTGTCCCGACTGGAGGTCGGAGAATTTTGATTTTTGCGTCTAAAATAGAGTGAGAGAAAATCAGCTCTAAAGATTTAGCGCGAAGTCCACGCTTGGCTGGTTAGCTCAGAAAAGGCTCATTTTAGAAGGGTTAAAAAGCACTTTCTGATTTTCTTTTTCTGCCAAATTAAAATTTAGGACCCACTCATGCCAAAAATCCAAAAAAAACAAAATCGAGCAATGTACTAAAATTTTCATTCACCGAGACCTTAACGGGTTAAATAAAACTTAGGCTTCCGCACTCTTGACATTGAATGCGCAAGAGTAAATAACCTCAAGTTTTCCCACTGACAGGTGTTTTAATCGTTTGCGGTGATGTATCAATTGTTTACATCAATTTTGTGGTTTCTCGTTTGTAATGCTCTTGGCGGTGCAAAATGACCAACTCGACCGTAAGCTTTATTTAATAACTAACCTTTTGTGTCGAAGTTATGTTTAAATTTAACCCTACTGTGCAAAACCTGGTATACCAAAAGACCACCCGTAGCATTCGTTACACACCTATTTTTTTTTAATTTTCAGCCTACGTTTTGGCGCCTTATCAGGAAATTGTACACCCGGCGTAAAACTGTCATTTAATTGATGAATGCTTAAGCTCTTAAAAGCTAAGCGCAAAGGATGAAAGAATGTAAACAAACGAGTTATGACAATCGATCTCACATATGACTTTACCTTATTATAATTTTCACCCGAGCACAGAGCCCTTGTAATCCCAAAATAATACTATCCAGTAAATTCTCCTCATATTATTTATTCAGCGGTCATTTTTTCAAACATAAATGTTGTCATAAATATTCTTTAAAAAATGTAATACTGTTCTAATTTCTTCCGTGTTAAAACGTTTCCATTCGTCACCTAAGAGACTCTGTTATTTTGTCAATCATCAAACCGATCTTTACTGGTGCGAATAAATTAAAAACGAACACGAGGATATCATTTCGCTCCTATTTTACGATATTCATACTAAATTGCACGCAAATTGTACAGTAACTTTTCATGGGTAAATTGTTAGGCTGTTAAAGAAGATCCTCAATATTACAGGCACCCAAGGGCAACGCTTCCAGATTATAAAACGAGGTAGGCATAGTACAGTGGAAACTTCGGTGAAACCTCAAAAGAGAGAACCTCTGTAACGAAGTCGTAAGTATAACGAACGATTTTCTTTACCCCAATAATTGCCAAATATTTTAAAAAGAACCTTGAACCTTGCCAATCCCTTGGTCCTTCGTTATATCGAGGTTTCACGTGTATATATGGACGTTCATAATTTGTTTCGACGTGTACGTCCGGCAGATCCTCGAGGTACATCATGATCAGTACCTTCGTGTCGAAATTGAAAGGTGTCTTCAGTAATTACACTCTTGGTCTCAGCGAACAGCAAGAAAGTGTGAGGCAATTAACGCGAGGCTTAAGTTATTTCATAAATTAAAAATAAAACTATTCTTCCCTTCAAGGAGAGATATCTAAGCTCAAAAAGTGAAGCTAAGAAAATTAAAATACATTTCGGAGCACTATGGACATAATTCAGCGCCAAAATACTCTCAGTCAAGACAATTCTCAGGATGGGAACCTTCGACATGTTAAATCAAGTCCTGGCCTCATATAGTATTGTATCCAATATTTTGTGTTAATTGAACACAAAGCATGTACAAACACAAAAGAAAAACGTGGAGTTTAACACGAGGCCGCTTCCAAAACGTCGGTTTTAGATTTCCTTGCACTCACTAAGACAAAACGCCCGTTTTCAATCTATACAACGTTATTACTTCATGTTACATGTGTACATCAGGCAAAAAATGAAATTTCGACAACACCACGCGATGGAAGTTGCTCATATCGCATTAATAATGGTGTCTGGCGTCACTTTGAATATTTAATAAGCTTTTGGTCAAATACTGTTTTCAATACCATGGACCGAATAGCTTAAGGCGCAGGCGAACTGACTCCAATAAAAAGCTAATTTTAACATGCTGGGTTTGAGTGGGCAACAAACAGTTGTATCGTCAGACATCCAGTGTAGAGCACAGATGAATCAAAGCGAAAGATCTTCACAATGGTGAGTCTAATGTAACGAACTGTGGGCTTCCACTAAATCCGCAAATATAGTTTACACGTTGAAGCACGCAGGTTTACAGTATTCACATCTATGAATGAGAACATAAGATCGCAGGGAGAAAACGTAAACTTTTTACGTTTACCACGTGCTATTATCTTTGATCTGCTTGCTGTTCCTCAAGACCTGACATTAAGTTTTTCCGGGATGAAAATGCGTTTACTTCCTTACGGCCTTTGTTTCGATCTAACAATAAGAATATTCATAGAACTGGGTCAGATGTCTTTAATGATTCATTACTACCGGCAGAGTCGAATAAATTCCAGTGGACTGAATCGAAATTAAAACGTCCCAGGTCTGTTACTCTAATTAGCCTAAGAAAGTACCAGCTTCTCTTAAACTGAGTCTCTGTGACCATCCTGGCTTTAAAACAGTTTAACACATTTCAGAGTTACGCAGGTGAGGAAATTTGGACATCGGACAAAAGGAACGGCACTCCCAGGTACCACAGAGTAAGTTCCGTTAGAACCGTAGAATTTTTACCCAAACACGTACTGGCAATTGGCTCGCGTTCCTAAGGCATTATATTAGTTGTTATCATATACTCGAGGACGATACGAAACTATTAACTATATTTTGGTGCAAAAATAAAATAATTTAGCAGGATATTTCTAAAAGTATAATCAAATCAAATCAAACCAAACAACTGGCGAATATGGTAGGCTGTAGGGACAACAAGAAAAAATTCCAAATGAATAGATAAAATGTATTATCGTTATCATGACTGATAATTATTGACCAAAAGGTTTTACAAGAACCATTGTTCAATTCACTTGTTCCGCTAAAATCAAAGAAATGGCCCAATACGACAATAAAGCTGCCTGTAACGGTCACGACTTTGAGGGTTCAGAACGCAGTATATATTATGTACTAGTAGCAGTATATAGCAACTATTCAGTTGTTTAAACAGGTATGAATAATAATATAATACTGCCAATTAGAGGTAACAAATTTAACAATTAAATAAAAATTTTTAATGTGAGATATTACCAATTCCAACTAAACATTCAGCTCTTCAAACTTCCTGAAAACCAAATGCAGAACGTTTACATTCACTATACAGGTCCCATCTTTATAAAGAGTTTGTACTGTATTGGGAAATATTTCAGGCTGCTCATCCCGCAGAATAGTCTAGATAACGACAGAGCTTTCATGAAAAAGGGAACTTAAAAATACAAAAATCAAGATGAAATTCCAGAAAATGATATTCGCTATGTAATTCATTAACCCAAGCGTGGAACGATGAAAAGACTAAAACAAACTGTTATTAGAAAAAAACATACGTATATCTAAAATGTGATAATCGACTTTTATTTAAGAATTAATGCGCCACTTCCAAGCCCGAGGGGTGTGTTCACATAAGCACTCAGCGAGTACTCAGTGTGAGCATAGCCTTTGAGCACAGCCGTGGTGATGACAAAAGGATCGAAAAGGATCTAGGTGGGGCTCCGCGCGCGAGCTCCGAAATTATCAATTATTAATTGCGGTAATTTTTGTTTCTCAAAGGCTGAATCGTCGACGTTGTAAACTTAATGTATCTGTGAGCTCGTGCTGATGAGGGGAACGCAATGACAGGTCCAGAAAATGCACGACACTGTTTGCAACGTTAAAGCTAGTGAACTAGAAATGCAAGATTTAGTTCACATGTCTGACGCGTGCAAGGCTGAATCAAATCACGAGATAATCACGCATGACGCGTGCGACAAACACAGTGTGCAAGAATGTAAAGACTGTATGGACAATTTGACAGCTGGAGGAGACAAAGTTCGGATAAAGCCGCAAGCAAAATGGCACCTTCTATCTCGTTTAGAACTTCCTGATTGGTTACGTGGTAATCCCTTTTTATCGCACTACCATAGACCTCCTATGCCGTCTTTTGGATTTTGTTTTAAAAGCATATTTAAGGTGCACACAGAAACTGGAAATATATGGACGCATTTGATTGGATTTATAGCCTTTGTTTCCATCGCACTGTACATGTTTCTTCGACCAATTTCCGCTTCCAGTCCATTTCCCAAAGACTGGCAGGAAAAGTTGGTGTTTGGAATTTTTTTCGCTTGCGGTATTATATGTCTCGGTTTTTCATGGATTTTTCACACTGTTCATTGTCACTCTAAGACAGTGTCGACGATTTTTCGCAGGTAGGTAATAATTCTATGTAATAAAAAAACACTTGCTCCTTTGGAGGATGGGGTTGTTAAAAAAAGCCGGCTCTTCCTTGTAATTTGTTGAAGGACACATTTTGGAATCCAAGGACCAGACAGGAGTACGAGAAGAAGTGTGACGTCACGTTACCATGGTAGACTTGATGACTTGACTTTGTATCATCTGATTTTATCAACAGCCTTGACTATGCTGGTATCGTAGTGTTCATCATGGGTTCATTCATCCCTCCACTTTATTACGCGTTCTACTGCTCGAGAATTCTAAAGATTGTTTACATGTCCCTGACCTGTTCTCTTGGTGTTATGTGTATTATTGTTTCATTGTGGGGCAAGTTCAAGAAATCTAAGTATCGAATATTTAGAGCAGGTAAGTGGAATTGATAGAAGGAAGTCAAAAAGAACCTGAAAGGGTTGGTGGACAATTGTGATATTTTGTTTGGCAAAGAATTTGTTTTCCAAGCCTTCTACTGATGTTATCGGAGATGATTCCAATTCTTTGGGTATACAAAATAAGAATATACTAGTCTTAACTCCATGTAAGATTTTTTTCCTGGACTCTTTCAGATTTTTTCTCAAAAATTATTGAGCCCCTTCCTCAAAAGTAAAAGTTTCTCTCCTAAAGTTAAGTATAATAATGACTGTTTATTAAGACTCATCGCAGCAATATTCAGAATGGCTGAATTACGGAGCTATTTACAAAACATATAATACTAAAATATAATACAATAAATCCAATAAATACTAGAAAATATAATTGTACAAGCCACTAGGCATACTTATGCATGACAAACTCTTGCGTGCGCTTGGTCCTACAGGTAGGACGCGTGGAGCGGCTAATGCCAGATCTAAGATTATAATTATGCACAACCTCCTCCTGTTTGGGGAGCATAAAATGCAAGGGGTGATTCTCATTCCGGAGGCTATCAATATAAACCTGGCATAGATGGGCGCGTCTGACACTTAGAGTTGATTAAGGGCATTTAATGCCTCGTTGTTATTCATTAAAGGAAAAATGATGCGCATAGCCCTTTTCTGAATGCTCTCAATCTTATTCAAGAACAGGACGAACAATGGTTGTATAAACCTTAGCCAGTGAAGTATGGATTTATGGATTTCTTTGCAATTGTTCTAAGACTAGTTTATTGTTGTAAGTAAATTAAAAATTTGCAACGGGAGATTCGCTTTTAGCCTCGGCTAAATCTATATAGTATAAGGAAGTCAAAAGGAAGCTGAGTCCTTTTTGACGAGGTGGGGTCATTTCAAGTCTATGTGTGTAACATTTTCTATACTGTGGACAAGTTCAATTTGAACCTTAGCTCCAAACAAATGTCAGTGCAAGTAAGTTAACAGGAGGAGGTCAACAACTTTCAAAAAGAACATGCAAACATCACGAATCAAAAAAGCGCCAATTATGCTTAGCGTCTTCACAGTCCATGAAATCACGGCTTAACCGACCGACGAGTTTAATAGCACTTTTACCAAGACCAAAACTGAAGCAATCGGTGCATATCCACTTTCGAAAAAGCCAGTCACTGCATGTCTTTAAAAAAAATCCTTGCTCCCCTATGGGAAGATACGTCTCTGGAGCTCGGTAAGGCCCGGTTCGGACGCCGCCCCACTCATGCGCCAAACCTAACTAATCAATTAAGAACGGCAAAGGAGCGCCGTCTGGTGTTAGGTGCGGCAAAAGTTCGACAGTCTGTCGCACTTTTGTCGAACTTAACTTAGCCTCGACACCCGGTGCGCCGTCTGAATCACATGTCGCGCCAGTGTCGCTCCAAAGTCGAACTTATTCAGTTAGGCTCGGCAAATGAAAAGAACGGCGTCTGAACCAGGCCTAACATAATAAAAAGACAACAGGGTAGTATTCCTATAGTATTTTAGGTCTTCGTAGATACTAAGTTGAGGCGGCATAACGCTCTCCAGACGTATTTTAAGTCCGATGGACAGTGACCGACTCTATATAATACAAACAGCGACACACATGAGTATTCATCCTTAAATCTACAAGTAGGGTTTGGTGACAAAAAAAGAAGTATAGTACACGTAAGCTAAACGGAAAGAAATGTTTGGAGTCCAACTACGTAAACTATTTTATTTCAGGGCTGTTGATTGCCTTCGGTTGGTCAGGTGTTATTCCTGCAGTCCACCTTGTGTCAACGCATGAAGCCACTCTTGTCATGCGTCAAGTGGCAGTGGAATGGATAATTTTGATGTCTTTCTTGTACACTGCTAGTGCTGTCACTTATGCAACGAGGATTCCGGAGAGGTTCTTTCCCGGAAAATGTGACATATGGGTAAGCTATTTTTACAACGTTGAAAAATTTCAATCTTAAGAGCACAGAACTGATTAACGAATAAATGTTCTGTCAGCTTCCATTTTCTAAAAGGCAATACCCAAAATAACGTTGTTTACAGAAGGTAAATTTACAGTTCCCAGAAATGATAAACTTGTGTCCCTCGAAGTGCTCCCACCCCCGTCTCAACTATAAACTGAAGGCACTTTTGCAGCGAATTGTAAGTTGGAATGTTGGTAATTGAGGAGAAGGGAAAACAGGGCTACCAGGATAAAAACCTAACAGAACGGAGATGAGAACTAACAACCACAACGCCTGGACTCGAACCCACTGCAGGTCAGATTGGTGGGAGGCCTGTGCTTTCACCACTGCGCCACCTTTGCACTCCAAAACCGCATTAAGTTGAGTAGACCCCTAAATGCACGCTGATACGTCGCCGAATGCCAGCCAAAACGCTTTCGGTGTTCTTCCACAAAGCCCAGAGGACTGTCTTAACGTCCACTTTCCTTTAGACTTGTGAAAACAAACTTGATCACAATTAATAAAATTAGTCATTCTATCAAATAGACGTTTCTTCTGTTCCATTCCTTTAGTTCCAAAGCCATCAAATCTTCCATGTGCTGGTGGTGATCGCAGCCTTTGTTCATTTCTACGGCATTTGTCAAATGGCGTATTACAGGTTTGACCAGGGATCGAGTTGTACAAACTGACTTAATTCGCGTGAGAAGGTCACGAATTTCAGCTGTTAAATGACACGCTTGGATGTGCACACCAAGACTTTGCCTTGAGGGTTAAGAAAACCATTTGACTTTATCTGCCTGTTTACATTATGGTGCCTCATATGGCGGCCACTTTGGTGACGTCACAGGTCTTCAGCAGAGCCATGTTTCAATAGAGCATTCTCACTCACGTGACCAGCATCTATTTATGCATATGCATTATTGCAACAAAAGGAGGCGTTTACATAAGAAAAGATTCTACTCCCACAAGATTGGTTTGGGACACCAACATGGCCGCCGTTTCATTGTCTTGGAAACCAATATGGCCGCCGTGACGTCATGTAAAAAACAGCTTCATATATTCAGATCATCTTGTAGAGCTCGTCACAAGCGATGGTCCACGGTCACCTAAACATCAAACTTTTAAAATATTGTGCACAACACCATAGGCATGAGGGCAATTTATAGAACAAAGACAATGATACTTTTCGATATCAGTCGATAACTGATCTACGTAAATGTTTACAATATGCATTTCGCCCCATGAAAGGGAGTCCGGATTCCAGACTCCAGCAATTTTTTGCTTGTTGGATCAGGAGTCCGGGAAGGTTTTGCTAGTGGAATCCGGAATCCTGAGACTTGGGAATCCGGAATACAGCTCAAGGAATCCGGAATCTCAGAAACGATTGAGATACGAAATTCAAGTTCCACTGACAAAGACCAGGCACGTAACCAGCCCAGAGGCCTGTAGGCCAGGGCCTATAAATTTTTGGTTTGATCACTTTAGCGCTTGTAATAAATTATGCGTTGTTGGGGTGAGCTAAAAAGCTTAAGAGCTCAAAGTGTTGGTGAGGTCAGTGCGTACTAGTCATGCGTGGGATTTTCAGGATATATATGTGGAAATGAAAGTCAGCCAGGACTTCAACTAGTCGAAAAGCTGGCTACGCCCCTGAAGACTGGGGATCAAGTACCTGCAATTCCGAGTCCAAGACTGTCTTGGATTCCCTTGCATGAGGTGAATTTGCTTTCTGTTTGTTTGTTTCTTATTATTTAACTGCATCTGTGAATCTTTCACTTTAGCGGAGATAAATTCAGGTGACATTAACCCCTCCATCATATGTACACGTCAAACAAGCAAATACCTATATTATTGAAATGATGAAAGTTAAAGTCTTTCAGCGGATTTAACGTTTATTTTGCATTGAATGAAAAAGTAACAAAATGACATATTAAAAAATAAATAAAGCTAAGTTTCTTATTAAAAGCAACGCCTCTTTCTTGTTGTTAACTTTATAAGCTACTTTTTAAAAAAAAAATGTTAACATTTTTGATTTACTAGCTGTGAGGCATTTTCTTGATCCGTTGGTACGCTGCAAGCAATTGAAAGCTGCCAGCTATACAGCAGGCCTGCACTTGTAATTTTTTTTCTTTTTTCACCTCTGTTTGAGTTAATTAATTTGAGTGTGAATTCAAGGCACCTCTTCTGTAATAACTGCAGCGTTTTACGCCAGTCACTGAGTTAACATTTCGACATATTTGCGATTTTGGTAAACATTGCACTAAAATCGGTTGTACATACATCTTCTATCTATGCGAGCTTAAGGGTGACAAGAATTGCAGTCTTAAAACATTTAGAAACAAAAGGAATCGTATGCGTAAACGGGCCGTTAGTGAGAAATCATAGCAATGCCTCGTCAAGCTGAATACATCAACATTGACCAATTGCTGGTTTTCAGTGTCACGCCATTCAAAATAGATTCAAATAAAAATCAAAACCTTTCGATAGATAAAGTCCAGAATCTGGGAAATGAAAGGAGGTTAATATGCCGAGACCCTCGCCAAGATTCAGGTCAAAGGAATATTTCGTATACGAGATATTCGAAGAAACATTTTACCCAAATTTATAGAGATTTGTATGGAGACGCCACGCTGGTGCTCATCCGGATGAGCTCCAACATGGCGGACGGAAACAAACAGAAACATCTGTTACCGAGTTTTGCTACAAGAGCGTGAATTTATTCTTCGAAGAACTCATAAACATTAAAGTAATGCTTTCTCTAATACATGAGCTGTTTAGATAGGAAAATTCCCTGAAATAAGTCATTTTTTTTTAACCTATGTGACAGCTCTCTTGGCCGTCATGTCATGTAAATGCCGCGTCAAGCAAAAGCTTAGAAATAATTCAAGCGTACTCTATCACAAAACCAAGAACCCTTTTGAAGCGAAAATTTGTATCAAAATTAGTTTTCAGCTGCTCTAATACATCGTGAAAGTAAAATCTCGGTAGGACCGATAGTTTTGTAGTTTGAATTTTAGTGACGTCATGTGAAAACCAGCAATATGGGACGGGAAACCAATGAGATTAAGACATGATACTCATCATGAGTGCTAATCGATTCGATTCTGCTTTTCTTCCTATTCAGGTAGGGCTCAATTCTAATCTCTGAAAATTTACATTAACAAAAAAGCCTTCCTTTCAAATACAGGTAAATCATTGTCTCCTTTCTCTACACACAGCGGGATGCAAAGATAGTGTATACTTACTCACCACAAAACATATCCGCCCTACATATAAATCATGTTTTTTCGCATCGACTAACTTGCTTTTGCGATCAATTGTCGCAATTAAACTGGTTGACTGATTTTTTTTCTCCCTGTTATATCCGTATTTCTGTATTTAATTTTTTTTCGCAAAAATAACGTTACTTGTTACAAAACCTTCTTAAAAGGACCGTTACATCTGACAAAAAGCACCGAGCTAATGACGAAAATTGTAATTTATGGCAAGATAATTATTAAAGCTAGTTTTTTCACAACCAATGAAGTTCACCGTAGTATACTGATATGCTCTCCGTGTTTGCATACAAATGTTATCGATAAAGTCTTTTAATAATTGATCATCATGCCTTATTGACGCTAGCTGTGTGTATGAAAAATCGCGCTCGGAGAGCGGTTAAAAATTTCCTTTTTCACGACTTTGTCAAGTACTTATGAGTCAAACTTCGCACTGAGAAACCTTCATAAAAACGCTATAACCTTATACAGAAGAGAAGCGGTCAACAGAGCACTCGGACTAAAATTCAAACAAGTAAGTCAAGTCACAATGTTTTCGTTAGTTAATAAATAACCCTGGGAAACACATCTTCTTCAAGTCATTGACAGTAATGTATTAAAACACTCCATAGCGTAAGAGTAAGACCTGTTATATACTCAGTAATTCTTATTCTTACTTTTATTATCTAAATGATCGACATCAGTTTTCAAGGAATCAGTTTTGAGGGTTTTTTACGAACCATTACGTGACCGAGCCCGTAGATGAAATAACATATATGAAATCTCACTTCGCAGAAGTAATAGAGAGGAAAAAGCAATTAGGAGCATTTAATAGTCTGTGACACCGTGATAAATGGCCTTTATCTGGGAGCTATGCACAAAATCTCTACATATAGGTCAGTTCAGATCAGGTCTGATCCATTGATGTCGGTTACCCGGGGGGGGGGGGACTCCGCATACGAAAGGGATGGGGATGCTCGTCGCAAATTTGGAATTAACCCCCTAAAAGAGACCGATCTGGGCGTAGCCCAAGCCTTTTTTGACCCCTAAAAGAGACCATGTTAAAACACAGACAATACACATATTTTTATATTTTTTTCACGTGCAACCCTAAACGAGACCTTCACGATCACGACTAACTATGATGGCGTTTTGCCCAGAACACTCTAAGTGAGACCAAAGTCCGAAATTTACACCCCTAAGCGAGACGACGAGCATCCCCACCCCTTTCATATGCTGAGTCCCCCCCCCGGGGGGTCGGTTAGCTAATGGAATAAAGCAAACCGGTTTGAGATAATTTTTGAGGCCGCTTTACGTAAACGGAAGGAAAGAACCATATAGGGCGTTTTCACTCATGTAACCAATGACTAAATGAGTTTCTTGGAACAAAAGGTATTTTTACACAAGAAAAGCGTTCAACTCTCACAGGGTTGGCTGGAAACACCAACATGGACATGGCCGCCATTTCAGTATTTTTTACATTTACATGTATTGGGTCGGTAAAATCGTTAAGATATCGCACCAACCGTAAAAATAAAAAAAACAAACAAACAAACAAATACATGAAGAAATAAAATAAGTAAATGAATAAAATACAGATATACTAATATATAGAATAATGATCTAAAAGTTAAATAAAGAAAACTATATAAACTATATATAACTATTATTCAAGAAAAGCTGATAACCTATATTAAAACGTTTCTAAGGAGGTTGATGAAACAATGGCCTCACGGAAGCAGTTCCAGTCCGCTATAGTTTTTGGAAAAAAAACGAAAATTTAAATACGCCTTTATTTGCCTGATATGGTACGCGAAATTTAAATTGATGGCTTCCCCTCGTGCGACTCTCGGAGCCTAATTGTTCACATTAATCGGCTCCTGACCAATATGAAAATCTATCCGGTATAGAATGGAACACCTCTCCGATATGCGAGTCTCCATTTCGGAGATCGACGCGGCGCAGCTTTGCTCCGTCACAGAAATCGCGCCGAAATAACCGTTAATATGTGTGAACAGAGGCCCTACCAGATATAATTTTTGTGCGGGCGCAAAAGCTACCCGACATATCGCCCAAGGTAAGGGAATCCGGATTCCGGAATCTGGAAAATTTTGGCTTTTGGAATCTGGAATCCTGGGTTTTTGGAATCCAGAATACAGCTCAAGGAATCCGGAATCACACAGTCGATTGGAATCCAGAATCCAAGTTCCATTGACAGAGACTGGAATCCAGTTACCCGGAATCCGGAATTCACGGTGTGGAATCCGGAATCACACAATCGATTGGAATCCAGAATCCAAGTTCCATTGACAGAGACTGTAATGCAGTTACCTGGAATCTGGAATCCGCAGCGTGAAATCCAGAATCCAAGACTGCCCTGGATTCCCTTTCATGGGGCAGGACATAGAGTGAACATAAACTTAGTAAACCAACATGGCCGACACAGCGTCACCTGAAAACGCTCCATCAAAGGTGGTTTGAACACATTACGGTTTAAATTCATACTGGTCTAGTGTTATCAAGCCCCTCTCTAAAATTTTTACCTTAAAATTCCAGAATGATCCCGCAGACCTTCATTACGGTGATCCTTTATGCAACTGTGATGTCAGTGGCCAGCGAGCAATGCGAAGATGGCTCATTGAACCAACATCTCTGCCAAAAGAAGTGTAATTTCAGCCATTGTTCCTGTAAAATGACAGAAACAACTCCATTTAGCAGCTGTTCACAAAGCTGCAATTTTCTTTCTTCGTGTCCAACAATGACCTGTTCTGGTAAGTAAACATTGAGAAGTCTATTGCTTAAGCTGAGAGAAGAAAGCCTTAAAGATAAGAAAGCATAAAACGCATTTTGGTGACTCACTGGCGCTTCACGAGCACTAAATGTGACCGGCTTCCCAATCCACCGATCATACTCTCTACTCTCAACGATCTTAAGCCGCCTTTTTTGATGATTTTTTTCCTTTACTCAATCACACTGATACACTGCGAAAGTTACAGAAATTGCATAGTTACATAATAAAGAATTAGGAAAGAGGAAAGAGACGAAGTGCATCTAACACGTATAACACATTTGAAAAATATAATGACCTGACTGTATAACTGACTAAGGCACTTACCATTTGTCACAACTGATTGGCCACATCAGGGTAGTCCTAAGGAGAATTTCCTGATTAATCAGGACTATCCAGACAGGTTCGGTTGATTCCTAAATGGTATGATGATGGGGTTTAGTCAAGGAAATTTTTTTAGAAAAGTGACTGATACTTCATTTTCAAAATGACTGGGTTGGCTGGCCAGGTCTGACTTTCCGAAAGTGCCCTTAATCTGCTTTCAGAATAGAAAAACCTCTGGGACCAGAGTTAAGATCGTGGCGATAACACAGGAAATAGTGAACGCTCGTTCGCCCGAAATCACACTTGTTCTACAGGCGATAACAAGAAACAAGAACTAGCAATAGAATAACCCAGAAACAAGAGACACAGGCTAAGCTATCCTGTAGGATCACAAAAACGCAAATTTTCGATTTCAATTTCCCTGTGCTATGTAACAGAAAAGAAGCCTGTTTCCTTTGTATGCCTAATTATCAACTCTCAGTAGTCAAGCTATCCCAACCAACTCCCGGCCGGTTAAAGTGTTCTGTAATGACAACTTTAGGTATAGGTCCTGGCGATCAAAGCGAAATTACAGAGGCACCCGATTAAGACGTCCAAGGGTCAATTAACTTTGTCGTTCCTTAACCGTATACCTACTCTTTTTTGCTTGTTGACCACTAAAGGATAGAGCGTCATATGTGCTTGTAGCCGGGTACCCTTGCACGCATGGCGAGAAGGCAGCCGCTCCCGCCCAATACTGTCCACGCAGTCTCCCCATTTATGTTGGAATGATATACATGCTACCATTGTTATGGATAGTTGTTACAACGCCAAGAATATCGTATTCAAGTAATTGTACTTTTAGATCGTGAACAGGAAATTGACGTACTTTGCTTCTTACTTCAGGTAGAAATGCGTGCGCCCAGAAGTGCTTCTTCGGAATGTGTAATATGAACTGTGCTTCCAGTAAGTTATGCTCCCAGTCGTGCGTATGGAAGGCAAAATGTCGTCACATCAAGTGTTCAGCTTCCACTTGCAACCAGGTCTGCACCAACTGCACCATGGAGTGCGTCAAAGGAGTAGAAAGATGTGATCAGATGTGCTTAGGAGGAGACTGTCGAATGGAGTGCTTTGCCCAACACTGTAAGAGGCAATGTTTTAAAGGAAAATGTTACTACATTGGACAGTCACAAAGCAAGGCACCGATTATTTATGGCTGGATTTGGATTTTTACAACAGTTGTTTTTATGCTACTGCTAAAGACCTGAAAAATACATAACCAGCTGAGAAAACAGCCCACATTTCGCGAGGCCACCACTGGTTTTACCGCGAAATGAAGTCTGAGCAATGAGAACTAGTGCTTCTGATTGGCTGAAGCAAATTCAGTTTAACCAGTCAAAAGCACTTCCCAGATCTGGGTAGTGATACGTGATCAGTATGGAATTTCTGTACTCGTTCTTTAGACGGCATTTCGCGGGGAAGCCGGTAGTGGTGGCACCCCCCTCAGTTTTTCTGCCGTTTGATAGTCACCCTAGTCGAGAAATCATAAAGGTCAAAAGCAGCGTCAACAATGCTTTTTTGCCACCAGCTTAATAGTAGTTATACTGCCCCCTAAACAATGGCATGTACTCTACTAGATATAAAGAAATCAATGCCGCATTCATTAGAAACTCTCTCTAAGCAGAGAAATTCCTCAACATGTGGCGAAACACCTGAATTCAAAAGAAAGTGAAACTAGGAGCATAAAGGGTTTAGAAAAAACACACAAAGAAACAAACAAAAGACAAAGTAAAACAAAAAAGCTGAAAAGTGCAAAAGATAATTTTGTTAGAAAAAGTTTACCCCGTTTTCACTTTTGTCAAACCGATGTTTTGATTTTCCATCCTTAGCTTCAGATCGTTAGCTTGAAAGACAGGTCGGAAGTATAAACATAAAGAGGAATTCTTCGTCGCACAAAGACGATTTTTGTTGAAAAGAATGATGAAGAATAATAATAATTTATCGTTTGCGGTCATGGTACTCAATGATTACCGTGAGACCAAACATTAACGAACTTATCATACACATACCACCATGAATATTGTACTTTCATTTTAACGTAAATAATCTAATTGACCATCTCAAATAAACGCCATGCACTTGTCTTATAAACGCCCCGTCAACCATCTAAAGTTTGTATTAGATCATAGACAGCCCTCTCTAATAAACGCCCATAAAAGCTAATCTCAAATGCTAGCAATTATTCAGATTCTTGCTTGATTAACAAGGGTTTGTACATTGCATCTTGTTCCATGTCAAGTTAAAAGTCAGGATCAGCGCAGAAGGAATGACTAACGTGATGACAACACAATGACGACCCTGAAAGAGGATTCTGACATCGAAGTTCATATTTGAAACAGTGATATGGATCTATGGACGGCCTTGACGAATCAACTGATGGACTGAGGATTGCGCAACATTATAATTCACCGAAAGCACATTAGTTTTGTAGATCGAGTTCGTTGAATAATGAAAGTAAACGCCTCCTATATATTAAACGCCCCAGTTCTTGGACCCTCAAAATTAAATAAACTCCCCGGTAGTCCTATAGATGATTTACGGACCAAAGTTGATAGCCTTTGGATAGAATAAAAAGAGAAAATCTGAATAGCGGGATAGGCCTCAGAAAAAGAACGCGTTTGGATCTTTTGGTACATACAAGGTACATGCAGGGTACCCCTTGGTACATGGGGCTACCGCCTCACTCAGACCCCACTCAATGTTCATAAGTTTGCAATTCGTGGACGGACACAATACTTAGGCACAAGGATTATTAAGTAAGCACTGTAAGTAACCACTTATCAACAGGAAGGGACAGCGTCCCTAGTGACAGCATATCGTACATGGACAGGTCGTTAATACCAAAGAAAAACAAAGAGCGGCGAAGGAAGAACATAGGCAGTTTCGCTTTCTGATCGTCCATTTCTTACAAACTCTAAATTACCCTTCCCTTGTAGTAAACCTCTCTGTACTTCAGCTGAAGTGATATTACAAATATGTATTAAAGGAGAAAGATCGGATATTTAGGGGACAAAAAGTCGCCTCCTTGATTGAAACTACCCACCACCCCTCCCTCCCCCAGTTCTCTGCTGCTAAAAACATAGTCACCCCCACCTGTTGTTTACTTTGTTAGTCTTCAGCTTGAATGCTGTAACTTACAATTATAGTGACATGACCCTTCGCTTGCGGTTTGGAATGCTGATAAATTGCGCCCATCAAGGCAAGTGTTAAAAACATGATTCGTACTCCACAAGATCAGACATGCCTTAATCTGTTTAACTTTGTTTTCTGGCATCAAGTCAACATTTTAAGGCATTTACGTCAGTCTCTACAGACGAAAGGGGAAAACACCGCTTTTGGTATCGATCTACATGAAAAGTGCGATAAACAACCACATTCTCGGATGGCCCCAAGAAGAAAAGACAGGATATTGGTTCTGAAAACTCACCACGGTAAGAGTATAGTATTGTTAAAAAGCAACTTGCTGACTTAAAAATGTTTTATCTCTCAGTCTGTTCTTCATTTTCGGGTCGGTAAACATTAACAAGTTCCACCGACTCGCGTACTCGCGTATTCACCAGCCCTGCAAGTATGATCGCAAAGTGCAGTACCAAAACGACTTTAGTAAGTTCCGTCCGTTTCTTTTGGTTGGAGGCGAGTAAACTTTTGACGTCACAAATGAACAATTTAACTGCAAAGCACCGCTTAAACATGCCGCAGAGCGCAGGATCTAAAGTAGACATGATTAGCAAAAATATACCAAGTAAACACATGTGTTTAAAAGGTTTGGAAGACCAGCTTTCGAGCCACTTTGACAGTTTATTAGCCCCATAATGGATTTCACAATAAGCTTACTGATTTCTTGCGCTTAACGACCCCTATGCTTCAATTTCCGAAGACTGAATAGTCTTCAGCCATAGCTCTCGCTCTGCAATGCTCTTTTTTCATAAATACTATCATTCCTGCTAGCTTTAGTTCCAGTTTTGTTAGTAAAATCAATAAACGGAATAAGCAGAACGCTTAAGAACGTTCTGCTTAATTGTTAAAGTCACATGATGTAAAAAAAGGGGCTGACATCAGCTTCCTCAGTACAAAAAGTGTACTGTGTACACATTCCAGGTTTTCTCATCCACTACTCCTTTAACGAATGCAATTTCATGGCTCATTTGTTTCAGTTTCTGTATGGTTAAAAGAATTGCTCCACACTCTTTCTCTGTAAACACTGGTTTAATGTACTCGACTCACAAAAAAACCTACACGTTCCTCTCATCTCTATCCGGCTTCTTCAGATTGGCTTGATAGTTCAACACTTTCACTTTTACTTTCTAGAAACTTTTGTTTTCAAAGGCATTTGTTTTTGGCGTTCATTTGAACGGAAACTGCTCTAAATTGTCAAATCCGGCGGATCTTATTTGCTACTAGAGATTTATACTGCTGGGTCATGACATGCACTCATTAAACCAAAACACCAGACGAAACATTATCCACACTCGATTGTTGTGTGCTTTTTGTGATCGTACACTGTCGGACTCCTTTATCCGCTCTTGTTTTGACCAGATTGTGCTCCCATAAAGAAGAAAATCAACATAATATTTTTTAAAAAAGGATCATTTGTAATAAAGTAAACAATGAAGGCATATACTAAAACCAAAATCAACGAAAACAAAAAGATAGAGAGTAGTGAAACGGCTGAAACGCCCCCTCCACTCCCACTAAACAATTTACGTTGGTTTGCCAGAAACAAAAGAAAATACCATGCTGAGTTAATCAGATCAGAGAGCGGTATTAAACAAAGGAATACAAGCCGATGATCTCTTTTGTATTTTTGTTTTTATTTGCTTGTTTTTGGCCAGACTGAGCCGAGTCTTCAATCGGAAACAAAGGTTCAATTTGCCTTCCTCTTTTCAATAAACAAACGCTATATACCGCCTGTATATCAGTCACTCTGGGTGGTTCATATTTTGTGTTTAGCGTTGGAGGAACACAAATAACGGCCAAGCTTGTGAAAGACTAAAGCTAATTAAGTGCAAACGGACGCAACAACTCCCAACATTGTTGGCCCAACGTTGTTGGGAGTGGTTGCATCCGTTTGCACACCACTGCCAACACGCACCCAACAACTCCTTACATTGTTGGCCCAACATTGTTGGGAGTTGTTGCATCCGTTTGAACACCACTACCAACACGCACGCAACAACTCCCAACATTATAGTCTATTCTGTTACCAATTATCGACCTCATCTTAGTCGCTTTTTGTCAAATATGTAATTTTCGCGATCCCAACTTAGTCACTTCTTATTTTTATGAACTGACCCATTTTTTAGACTGAATGAAGAACACTTTACTTTTCATCTGCAGTACAAACATTCTGGTACGTTTGCTAACCGTAAATATGAAGAACTGTCTTACCCCCAAAAATCCGACAAATGTGCTACCCCATTATAGTCAATCCAGTCGTGAAAATGCGACCCCATCCAGCGGCACATCCCCATTAGCCTCTTATAAGGAAGTAATCTACCCCCATTGTTTACCCAACAATGTTGGGACTTGTTGCTAAAAGTTTGACCGGTTTGAAACTTTGCGCAACAACACGCATCAGGGTGAGCCAACGGACGCAACATGTAACATCCAACATTGCTGCGTCCGTTTGCACGGGGCTTAGCGCGAGCGGAGCGTCAATATTATACCAACATTGCGCCATCCACTGACCGATTTTATTTTTCTCACTCACTCTCAACCTAATAATAGATGACAAAGGAATTCGCTAACAGGATCAGACAAGAGTAACCATCCTGTGGAAACAAAAACAGTTCTGAACGATCTTATTTGACAGATGACATGACACCCATTTGCCATAAAGTTGATTTCTGTTGAATAATAAATTGTTTATGTACATGTATAAGAACAGTTTTTCTGGCTTGTTCTCTTCAGCTTCGACTTTAAGAGAATGGTTCTCCCGGTAATGCTGATTTTTTAGTATTCTGAGAAAGCTCATCAATTAGTTCAAAACGTCCTGTGAAAAACATTAGAGGAAACATTATCTTTGGACTTTTGTTTGCTTTTTCAGTTAACAATGTGCTTCAAAGCACGTAGTAACGTAACATTAAAAGCAGGGGAAAATTCTTCAACCCAGGTACTTGCAGTAGTTTTTGGAAACAAAAGAGACCAAACCAAAACTACAAATTTGGAGAAAAATCTCGAGAAACGAAAGTCAGATTAGACTTGTTAT